CACACAGCCCGGAAGACCCACACCAGCCTTCGTATGCCGGCCGTGAAAGCCTTCGACAATATATTCCAAGTCTTTCTTTAAATCAATTTCATCCAAATCCTTAGCATTTAAAAACTTTTCAAAGAACAACAGTATATTTCCTCTTTTGTTATATATTACAAAAAATAAAGATCTTACAAAGCTGGAAACATATGTTCTTTCTTTTTAAATGGATTGAAGAGCACTCACCCAGCTAATGTCCAACTTGCAGCTCTGAAAGTTTTTCAGTCTTAGTGAAACAGTAAGAAAAAAAAAATTAACTCCAAGGTGATTAAAAAGATGAGGTTTGGACAAACTTTGAGTCCTTAAAAAGACTACATTAATGGCTCAGAGCATGATGAAACCCATGAGTCCAAGCTGATCACAAATGGCTGCAAAAACAAGAGTTTCTGCTGCCAACTCACAAAATAAACCCAGCTGTCTGGAATGTATGAGGGTAATCCCAAGATCTCTTTTTTATCCAGAAAGAATTATGGGCTGTCTGGATCCCGCATCCAGCTGCCCTTTGGCCGCAGTGCCCCTGCAAGCAGCTCTCCAACCTCACCGGATGCAGACAGGGAAATACAGATTCTAAGTTTGCATTCTGCACAAGAGGGTATCTGAGTTCTGCCGACTGGCAGAGGAACCACATTAACAAGGCAGAGATTGTATAGTTCTCCTTAGCTATCTATTCTACTCTTTCTTTGATAGAGAATGTAACTCTGTCTCCAATTTAGCCTTTTCTATCCATCCTAAAGAGCAGGTGGAAAGCAATATGGTGCCTTTGTGCATTCAGTGGAGTCCCATTCATAGTATTGCTAACTTTCAGTAGTGCATTTACCATTAAATCCAGCAGTGTGGTTTATGTGCACTAATAGGGATTTCTGGTTTTAATATTTTCTCTCCTCCTGACCCTAGCCTTGCCCACCATTAGAATGGTTGTTCAAATAAATCAAACTGCAGCCTCATCACTGAAAGACTGTCCCTCACCCATCTCTGCTACAGACCTGATATCGGGGTATAACTGTATTTTGCTGGGTCTCTTCATTCTGTTAAATTTCCGCTATACTTGTTACATGCATATGGCACTCTTGGTTGGGAGTGTATCACTTCCTGTCCCTGCCTGGTCTCCCTTCATTGATCTCTTCCTTCACTTTTCTTCTCATCGCCAATTATCACTTAATACAAAATACATTCTTGCATAAAGATTGTAACAGATCTTTGTTTTGCACTCTTTTGATTTTAAATGTATCTAAAGCACATTGGTTTTACAATAACACGGGTGTGCCTAATGCTTAATTTCTCTTAACAGATTTAAAGTGGATCTGACTCCATATCCCACATTAAGCAGAATCAACAAAGCTCTCCTAGAATTAGAAGCATTTCAGAGCAGCCATCCTTCCCGGCAGCCGGATACTCCTTCAGAACTAAGATCCTAAAGCTGTTCAAGTGCTTGTTACACTGTGGGAGAGTAGGTCAAAAATAAAATGGGGCTATCCTTTTTTAAAACTTGCTGCAGTTGCAAAGTATGTAGCTGCAGTAAAAAAAACCCAAACTCTTGATCATGTGTGACAGTTGTAATACAATAATGAAGCAGATTAAAAGGATAAGAACTTGTGGGTACGTCTTGTGAAAGTTCAAAAAAATGCTGTGTTGCTTTGTGTAAATAGCAAAGGTATTAATCTATAATCAGACCGCATACAAAGTTACAGAACATGAAAAGGCAGCAGTCTAGATACTAGCAAGCACACAGTGATTGGGCCTGAAAAAGAACAGTCACATGTCAGAAGTTTGCAAACTTTTAGACTAATGGCATTTTGTCCAGTGTATGATATGTCCTTTTTAGCGTTACTAAGGACTAATTTAAAGACCTTCACTACAGCTTTTGTGTGTTTCCCAAACAACAGCAAACTGTACCACTACTTTCTGGCAATCGCATGGCCAAAATTTGGTGACGCAGTTGGAGTTGCTTTAGAGCCATAGGTTAGCCACCCTTGCCTTACAGTATCCATCGTTAGCCAGCACACACCAGCTTTTCAGAAATATTGAAAGTTAGGGAATTTCTAATTCTTCCTTCAGAATAATAAACAATAGAAGTTGATGCAATAAATTGGCAGAAGTTAGAAGTTTTCTGACCCTCACAGGGATTGTAGATTTTCCAGAAAAAAGCACACAGCTCTCTGAAGAGTTAATTAGAACTGTGCACCTCAAAGAAAATCCTGCGGTCAGCAACTGTCATATAGAACCTTCAAAATTATTATTTCTAAGATGCTGGGAAGAGGTTTGTCTTCATACCGATGGCCAAGATTTATATAGTCAAGTTAAAATTCTTATGCTTGCTTTATTATATCATTTGAGATTGGCAAAATATAAACAGCTTTAGTCTTAGTGAAGTATGGAGAAAAAAGGTAAACAAGATGAGTTGGGGGAAGGAGAGAACAGGAACAAACCGAAATGTATAGTAATACGTTGGGAAATCCAGACCAATATAAATATTTCACAGCAATATTAAAATCAGTCTTCTTTCCATGGAAACACTAAGCATTCTTCAGAATAGGATTACTTATTTTGGCAGTGCTCCCTCTCCTTCTCTGCCACCCCAACTGCTGACAAACTAAAAAGTGAGGATGCTGAGCTGCTGAATTCAGCTGAGAAATTAACTGCTAGGCTTTCCATTATGCCATCACAGATAGAATTTGGGGGGGGGGGTTAAGGGCAGAAATAGTTAAGATACTGACAGCAAAGTGAGAGGATATCAATCCCCCTGGCACTTACCCATGTTAAAAACAAAGTTAGGCTGGAGCTGGCTTCTTTGCAACACACTTTAACTCTAGTGTAAGATCTAAGGACAGTGTTCCTCAAACTTGGCAACTTTAAGGTGTGTGGACTTCAACTCCCAGAATTCCCCAGCCAGCATTCTGGGAGTTGAAGTAAACACACATCTTAAAAGTTGTCAAATTTGAGAAACACTGATTTAAGAAATCAAACCTTAAAGCAATCTCTGGCACAGCCTCAACAGGCCTTTTCTTTTTGATGTGGTTACTCATTCACTTTTATTTAGATGTCCAATTGTTTCTGCTGTTCTGTGTCTTGATCATGGAGTCACAGCAGTTCAGGTGGGCTCCTAGCAGGCATTTATTTAGTTCTGAAGATTGAGCTGGAATTTGTTTGTGCTGTTATAGAACTTGCCAGCATGGTCCGAGCCTCCAAAGACAAGCATCATGCACAGGTTGTGTTTGTCCTGATTCTGCTTCTCCATGTTTGTCAGGTCAGCATAAGTTAAATTGAGCAGTGTGTGGCCTGCCCGGGGCACAGTGCAAAGATCACTATGTTCAATTGCACTCCAAGTCAAGGTATCTGCAATGGAAAGAAAGTGATGAGTGCTGGCAAATGTTTTCTAAGGCCAGGGAATAGTTTTATGGTAAGATTTTATAACTTACCGAGATGGAATATGAATGCATCTTGAAAAGCTGCTCTGGCATTGCACCCTCCACTTATCAACATTTTCTGATCAGAGATTTGGATAGCAGCATGGAAACTAGAAGCCAAATAGGTCATCTTAAAATTAGCACACTTCTAATTAGCACTGGTAAGCCTTGAACAAGAAGTTATTCATGTGTCAAACTTACTTCCCATCCTTGGGAATTATCATCTCTTCTACTCAGTTATACCCAGTCCTTTATTTTTTCCAAATATAGTATACTCTATGCTTAGCACTACGTTCTCTGGAACTCACACTTTATCCTTTTTTATGAGAAAGCGTATTAGACAGGAGTAGATCATCAATGAAGCAATGAGAGAAGAAGTGGTAAAGGCCTGAGTCTGGTGAGGTTCTCAAGTTATATATAGGGATAAATTTAAGACATATTTAAGATCCCCTCCTATCCCCTCTATCCATATTTATATCAGCATGCTTTACCAGCATGTATAAGATATGAGCAGATTGATTAGAACCTGCAAAGTTTCATATGATAAATGCTTCAGAGCTGAGTTTCCTTAGAAGCTGACAACATTCAAAGAGTAACAGTGTAAAGCTCACCCCTTTATCTAGCCCAGAGATGTCAACAATAACTGACCGTTTAAAACTTATTTTCTAGCACAGCACGGTTAATGCAAAAGAGCACATAAAACATCATAAACAGACCTGCGAGCAGAAGGTTGTCCAGAGAGAGGTGGAACTGGTTTATATTCCATGAAACCTAGAAGTATAGGTTGAAATAATTAGAAAGTATTTTGGACACAAAAAAACCCTGTCTCTCACACAGTTTTGTAGCAGCTTAAAAAGACTAAGCTGATGTGCATGCTTTCATAGATTAAACTGTACTGTATCAGAGGGATAATAAAAAGTGAAATGGCCAAAAATGCATTGATATCCCATCTGGCAACCAAGTTATTCTATTCCACAAAAACTGCAATTAAGTACTACAACACCTTTCTGTTGTTTTTGTTGCCATAAACTTAAATAACTTCCCCTCTTTAAAGGACTTGTCCAAGGATGCAGTTTTATTTCATTATCCTAGGCATCAATCCTGTTATAAGACTTAGAGTCTTACAAGTGCTAATATCAGATTATTACCACTGCCTTTCCCATGAAGATTTCAAAATGAAATCACTCCCCATTTACTATGCTGCAGGTTTACTTCATATCTTGGCAGCTCCCATTTCAGGGTAATCTTTTCTTCTCGCTAAATAGAGCTGGTTCTAAAAGGTGGGTTCTTAACTCTGTCCAAATCCAGGCAATATTTGAGAAGGCAAGCATTGTGCCTTTCTTACCCAGATCAAGGATGTGCATGTCATTCAGGTATGTAGAACTCCTCTGGCCTCCAAATATGACTAATTTGTTCTTCAACAAAGTAGCTGAATGACTTTGAGACAAGGACAGAGAACATAAAAATCAAACATATTTGGCAGAAATCTTGTTCACACATTTTTTATTTTTTTTTGGTGGCTACATCAATCTCAGTGGTACTTTGGGATTTTCTATTTCTCTTTTTATAGAGTTTACATGAGCATCTAAGTACATTCAGGCTATTTCTCAATGAAGCCACATCAAATCCAGAAAGGCTTGGTGAAAGATCTGACTGGCTTTAACATAATTTTAAGAGAATGGTAGAGCAGTTATTGAAAGTTTTTGAAAGTTAGTTCCTCCCAACAGCTTTCAAACTCAGAGATTCTAATATGAACCACAGGACACCTTCTTGTCAGGAGAAATGCGTCAAGCAACCAATGTTTTATACTCCACTTGTATTAATTCTTGAATGTTTATTTAGAATAAAAGTAACGGATACAAACTGAAGGATAATCTTTTTTCTTGAATATGAACAATGGCATTAACCAGCACATTCAAGAGTCCACAATGCAGTTTATTGTCTTATCGACCCTATTTTTGGGTTTTATGACATATTTAAATTTATAAATGGAAGTAACAGTAAAACAGTTGAGTGACAATGTGAGATATGGTCTAGAAGAATGCCTATAGAGACAGGCCCATAGAAATCACAGACTTTCCGTTATGAGTGAAAGTGTCTTGCCATTCATGACAACTGGATCTTACTCAAAGTCTTTACTTCTGCCACCGAAAAGAGACATAACTACTTTGCATTGCTAAGTAATGGCATAATAATGGGTGGGATGGAAAAATACAATGGCCACAAAGAGGAAATGAGAATATGTACATAAATGCATAAGATTACTTAAAATGAGTTCTGTAGAACTCAAATGGTAGAGTTTATCCAAGGCTGTCTCCATATGACCTTTGAACTTATTGAAGGAATATTATACAAGAACATCAAAAAAGAAACACTTCTAGCTAAAATAAGAGTGCATGAAAAAAGACCACTATCATACTTCAATTTTCAGCCAGGAAAAAGATCAAAGAAAATATTGCCTATTTCAGATTCGATGTATTGTCGAAGGCTTTCATTTCAGATTCCTCTGAGTTCAAGACAAGATGTCTTACCCAAGCCTTGGCAAAGGCTTCTCCCCCTCCACAATGGGCTGGTACCAAATCTCATAGTCGGGGTTGAAAATAAAAAGCGCATTACTGCAGGCGCCCATCTCCAAGGATGACATTTTAGGGAAAGCTCCTCCAAAGACAAATAACTCCTTGTGATAGACAGTGGCACTGTGGAAGGCCAGAGTAGGCACTTTCCCTTTAGCCTGTGAGAAGAAGGAAAAATCTCATCACAACCCAAGTCAGCAGGCGAGTCTGGCTCAGCATCAACAGCAGTGGAGATTCTCCTGCTCTCAGTGGCATTACTGGATAGCATCCACCCAGCTTCTAACTGTGATCTATCAGGAAAATCTCACCTGCTCCATTTACTCCCCTTTTCTCTCTCCTAAATGAATTACTCCACTTCTTGCCATTGTATTTGAACTCCCTTTCTTACAAAAGAGAGTGAGAAAGTTGCAAGAACAAAAAATAGACACAGAGCATAGCTGAAGCAACTCTTCTGTAGTTCCCAGTGCTTGGTTTCTACTCACAGAAACATGAAGCCATTTCCAAGATGTTGTATCCAAAACATAGATGCTATTGTAGCGTCTCCTCTCTTTTATTCCTCCAAATATGTATATGCGCTTGGTATCTGGGTCATAAGTTGCGCTGTGACCTCGGGAACATTGTGGTATGGAATTTTGTGCTGGGAAATCCATAGGGAACCAAAAGTCATTATCTGTGAATTAGAAGATACACAGTGAACAGAGAAGATACATAAAATAGTCTTATATTTGTGAAATTCAGAGACATCTTCCTTAGAGCTAGCCCTTAATATTATGCAATGGACGTTGATTCCAGTAACATTCAAACTCAAATTGTAAGACAGCTGATGGTCCCTTCAAATCAGTAGATTTTGATCTAGAAAGTTTCCTTCCCATGACTTGCAGACAAGGCATATCACTATTAGAAGCACAGAAGCATCTCACCAATCTCCAGTTTCCAGAGAACATCTTTGCAGAATTGCTGATTAATTCCTTCACCACCAATCAAAACTGCTGTATCTGTGTCACACAGGCACATAGCATGACACCATCGAGGACTTGGACATGCTAAAGACAACCAGTAGAAGTACAGTCAGTCAACAGAAACCATTTCATTGTACCAGAATAATTCAGGAGGGCCTACTCCTATAAGCTTAGTGCATGAAAGATCTTTGCATGCTACCATAATTAGCACTGTATGAAATGGCCACTCTTTATTCATTCTAACTGAAATATCAGGATCAAATGATTGTTCTTCCATGAAAGAGACCATCTTTTCCTGATCAAATCTGCCTGCCTGATGCAGACAGAGAACACCTACCACTTATCAGGAGATGTGACAGGAGGAGGCCTGAAGGAGAATGTTCTCAGTAGAGGCTCCCCTCCCATATAACAGCTTATTTCTTGACACAAGTTTGGTGACCCTCATTCTCGTGGTCTTTCAGAAAGTTGTAAAGACCTGGCTTTTCCTGAGAGCCTTTCAGGATTGATTCTGGAGCTATCAATGTAAGTTTCATTTTTAGATTTCATCAGAGATATATATTGTTCATATTTTATGCTACTGAATTGTTATTACTGTTTTATTATATATGCTGTAAACCACCTTGAGTTGGATTGAGATGGTATATGTATTTCATAAACATAGACATAATATTCCCTACATATTTTCCATCTTTCTTCGACTGCAGAAAATTTAACATTCTAAAAAAAATTGAAGATTTAAACATGTTCTGTAAGCATATATAGTGCCTTTCTACTTCTTTACCTCAAGATGGAATTTAGATACATCAACCAAGTACTTTGTGGTGTCGGCGTCACTTTTAAACACTCAATTAGCACTGTTTTGCATCTGAAGTGGAAATGGTGCTTCCCAGAGGACATGGGCACCCGCACCACACTTTTCAGGGACAGTGGCACACCCACACCTTCTCAAAAGCAATCTCCTGGACCCTCCTTACCTTAAACATGCCATTTCCTGGGATTGCATGCTTGCCATACAAGCCCAGTAAACCAAAGGGTGTGGCATGTACGTCCATGCCACTCCCAAAACACCCTCTCTACTTCTGAGCCAAAGTGATGCACATTCCTAGTCAGAGCCACAGATGCTCTTTCCAGTATACTTTTAAACACATCCTCATAAATGTACTTAAATGCAAGAAAAAAATCCACCATACTTCCTTCTCCTTACCAGCATCTTACCACTGTAGAACCTGAGAACTGGAAGAGCCATTTTGGCCAACGAATCCAATCCCCTATTCATTTTAAGGATCCAAATTAAAGACCCGTGAGAAGCAGCTGTCTGGCTTCTGCTGGAACATATGCCATCAGGGAAAGCAGGCCACCTATCTAGAAATTGGTTCCAGCACTGAATTGCTTGTAAGGCCATTATTCTGGGCTTGCTTTTATACAATAGTGTTGTTTCTCTGGATGCCCTCCAGAGGGCGCTCTTGGATAAAGCACAAAATGCTATCACCATGAGCGACTCCACAGGAACACAGGAGCTGAAAGCCAGTGCAATCGGCACAAGCTTTATTAAAGGTAAATCCTTACAGGAGCAAGCACGCAATGCTCCCTGAAATGGACTGCAGGTATGTATGCTGTGTTCTGCCATGGCACGTCTGTTCCAAGGAGCTGGTTTGTAAAGTTTTATAACCATCATGCTGAGCACGTACAAAATAAGTTGTGTGAGAAACTAGCTTATCAGTGAAATACCCTTCCTGTAAACAACTCAGCGTCTCTGCACCTGGTATTACCCCACTGCATTCCCAGATACAGTCTGTGCCCTGCTGTGCATCTTATTATTTTTTATACTAAAAGTTCATGCAGTGGTGGTAGCTTGGTTTAGTGCATACAAATAGAAAACACACTGTTTTTTTTCTCAGGGACGCCAATTCAGGTATTTGAAGATCCCTGCCCCCAATCTTCTGTTCTCGGTGCTAAGTCCAATTCCTTCAATCTGTCCTTAAAAAGGGTTTCAGTCCACTGGCCATCATCCTTGCTGTCCTCTGAATCATTGTGCCTGAATCCTTCTTAGAGTGTATTCAGAACAATGTTCTTGTATTGATGCAGCTGAAAATTGTGTTTTCCTTTTTGGAGTCATATTGCTGAATCGTAATCAATTTATTATTACAAGAGTTTCGTCATATACCATTCCCAAGTCATGTATTCCCCAGTCCTATCCTTGCTAATGTTTTCAAATGCAGATGTCCCAGGACACAGCTTCTAATACCTTTCAAACTTTCTGAAGGTCCTGAAATCAGTGAGGGTGGTACTGCAAGTTTAAATCATTGATTTAAAAGACTGTCCTTATGTGTTATATCTTGGTTGCCCTGCGGTCTTACCAGCATTTTAATGTTTTAATTATTTTCATTCCATTCTTCCTCCTGAAGAAAGGACAGAGCATAAGGAAATGAAAGAAAACAATTACTTTCCCATCCAGGGAACATGGAATATTAATTACAATTCCATATATAGCTTATGCCAGAAGGGTAATTAAGCAAAACTAAGAATTGCTGATCTAGAAACACCCAGCAAAACTCAATAAAAGGGATTTTTTAAAAACCATATTTACCTTGCAACTCTTTAACCTCCAAATCTGCAGAGAAAACACACAGAAATAATTTCTTTATAATTTATAATTAAGACCATCTTAATATTAATTTTCAGTGTTAGGAAAAAGAAATCTCCATTTTTATCATGTTGAGTATGGCAGGGGT